CATGACTCGTAGAACCTATGAACCTAGAGCTCTAATACCAACTTGTACGATAAAATCCAACTAGACGTGTGGCACTAACCAAACCGCTAGGTAAGCCAGTCAACATAAACTAGTACAAATGATATTTGCAAGTTTTTCTTATAGGTTATCTTTGAACAAAACATTAAAGCACTGAAAAGAATCTCTATCCACCGTGAATCGAATCTATGTATCCTCTAAGTGAATTAGCGCATATGCCGATGTTGCAATTCTTCCCATCCCGGATTAGGATAATGGAAAACGAATTGACTATCAGTAATTGGAGGCAGGTTAGGGGTCAGCCGGAATGCAATGGTAATGCCAGCATCGTTCTCAAAGAAGAATAGTATTAGAGTCAAGACCGGTGCTATCCCCTTCCCCAGCTACTGGTCCTTTCGGGTCGCCTGACCTGGGATGATGGCTCATTCCCAGCCGCTTTCAATTATTTTTCATTGCTGAGTAGTCGACTCGCTATCTGGACCTATAGTAGGCTTGAGGGAGAAGAAAAATTAGGGGAAATGCTGCCCGTTTTATTTTAGAATCAATTTATCATTTGAGATACATAATATACTAGCGCCATCTAAGTTGTGCATGTATTTCTTTATTACAAGGTTGGCGCGCTAGTTATCATAAGCTTGTTGTAAAGTTGCATTGATGACTTGAGGTATGTTAAGGCTATCCCTTCTTTCCTTTTGGCATGATCCATATGATACAACGAAACGAGCAAGCACACAACCTTCATATATGATCCCATTATTAGAAGTACTAGGGTTGCCTATGTTCTAGATTCCCCATATGTACTACTATCATATTGTCTGTTCATGGGTCTCATGACATTTTGAGAGATCTTATTGACTTACCTCATTATGCATTGCATCCATTTATACATTTATGTTGACCCATGACCAGATGGTGTTATATGCGCGTATAGTATATGTATATGTGGTATGGGGAAAGGTTATGACGTTATATACGCACCACCACCTGATCAGCAGGTATACGTTTGTGATTTCAGCCATAGAGGCTGAGATGATATGATGGGATCCCCTCACAGGCTTGATGATGTTATGTACGCATATACCTATGCATGATATGATATTTATACGCATATGCATGACATTATAATTGTTTCATGATTCACAGAGCTATTCAAACTTACATGTTGAGTCATTTACTCCATGTTACTTTCATGTCTATCATATACTAATTTTTGTGCCTTACATACTCGGTACATTATTCGTACTGACGCCTCTATTGCCTGGGGGCTTGCATTTCATGCCCGCATGTGCAGGCAGACAGGTTGACGGTGCCCCATCTTAGGATCCTTGCTCAGCGAGAGTTCGTGTGNTCTACAATATTCTTCATGTTGTCTGACAGTCCATGTAAAACCGTTGTCCCAACATCTGTTCTGGAACACCGTGGTAGGGACACATGACCAACATTCCTTTAAACCTGCCCCATATCTCATGCAGTGTCTCCATTGGTTTCTGTTTGAAGCTCACGATCTCGTCAATTTGTTGAGCAGTTTTGTTGGGCGGGTGGAACTTGTTGTGAAATTTCTTGGCTAACTCATCCCAAGTTTCTATAGAGTTTATGGGGAGTGAGTTTAGCCAAACCTGAGCAGCTCCTGTCACCGAGAATGGAAACAATAACAGCCTGATTGCTTCCGGAGTCACGTTGGGTTGCCTTTGAGTTTTGCAGATAGACAGGAAGTTCTTCAAATGCTGCTGAGGATCTTCTATTTGTGTCCTAGAAAAGAGTCCCTTGTTTTGCAACAAGTGCAGCATGTTATTTGTGATCTGGAACGATTCAGCTTGTATTGCGGGCACAACAATGGCAGTGGCCAGATTGTCAGCTCTGGGTTGTGCCCAGTCATATAGTGCACCCTCAGGCACAGGAGGTGCCACTTCTCTGGCAATTAAGCCAACTTGCTCATTCCTGACATTTCCGTTGGGGTCGTTTACGTCTCCCATGTCAATTTCGAATTTGTGTGTTTGTTGGGATTGTTGAAGTCTTTTGTTGGCATGGTTCAATGTCCGAAATGTTTTCTCGGGGTCTGAGAGTCCTTCAAGTAGTTCTCCAGTCCTCGTAGAATTTCTAGGCATACACCTGTGCGACCAGATCAACAACCGTCAAAATTTCAATGAAAAATTGGGTAGAGAGAAAACTGACCACACTAAGAATTTTTGTATTTCTATCAATGGTAATTGATAATTCCGTTAATTCCCCGGCAACGGCGCCAAAATTTGATCACGCCCAACTATGCCTTATAAAAAGGACAATGCGGACGTTGCAAATATAACCTGAGTATTGTGCCCAGAGTCGAATCCACAGGGAATTAACCTATCAATCACTATCTTTTGACCTACTAAACTCTTTAGAATCAATTTCCCAAACGTTGAGAATCACAGTTGATGGTGTTTTTAATAACTAAGATTAACAGTAACTAATAGCTGCAAATTAAAGATGCTAAGCTGTAAACAATAATGAGAAAGCGCTAAGGTAATGATTTCCCCTATTGATGGAATTCCTTCTGCTTATGTTTCATACAAATTCACCAACACATTCTATCAATCATGAACGCTCTTCTTACCGTAAATCTCTCCCAAGTAATCACAGTAATTTACTAAATGTACTCTCCCGAGATACACTAGCTAGCTTTATTTATCACAGTTCACTTAAGATTGCACCCAAGGCTTTGTTATTCCTAATCCCGCCTTTAAACCCGCAGTTATAGATCCCTCTTATACTTTGGGAGTGGTGTTGTTCAACATTCACCTAAATATGCACCCTCTCCCGAGTTATGCACACTAAATAGGCACAGCTAATTGAGGATCCTGTCAATTAACTATAACAAACACGTAGTTGAACAAATAGAAATTAAACTGGCAAACTGTATTCATATAAACAAGAAGTTCATCCCTCAATAGGTTCCATCAAAACCCTAGACAAAAGATTTAGCTGCTCATGACTATGGGTAAATAAACTAGAACAATATTCATAATCATAATTGCAAGAAAAATTGAAGAAGAAGAAGATATGATGTTTAGGTGATCTCTCACAATTGTTTTGCTTGCTAAAATATTCT